TGCTTATTTAGGGGGGAGGGCGCTAGTAGACAAATCTTACGTTAGCAAAATTTTTAAATTATTTCATTAGTCGGTAACTTTAATTACTTTTCTACTCAGATTCTCGATCGTTAGTTCAATTGTATCGATAATGTCACACACAGTTTTGTTTGGTTATAAGTTGTTAAATCAAGGCAGAAAGAGCGAAGCTGACATGAGTGTCAGAATCTTTTATTTTTGGTAAAAAATGCTAGTTGATGCACATAGTAAAAATTATACTAATTGAATCCTATTCAGTTGGAATAGTTTTAATAATCCATTTGGGGTTTGTAAGGTTGAATCGTACCCAGTTGGTGGTAATTTAAAAAATTCAACGTGGTCCGTCAAGTTTAATTAATCCGTTTTTGCCTATTTTATAAGAAGTAGGAATGACTATCTGCGTTTACCGAGAAGTAATTCTGCTATCTATGAAAATTCTTTCCTAATTCATGGCATAAGAATTTGGAATTCATTACCGGGAGATATTACAGAAATTGACACCTTTGAAAATTTTAAGCAAGCTTGTTTTAATTTCTTCTTGCAATCAATATGATTACCATTGATCTTATAAGTTAAGATGATAGCTATTAATTAATGTTGATTTTCAAATTGTATTGCAAATGCTGTATCAAATGTATACTTGTAAATAATTAATTTTATGTATTGTTGATGGTCCTGAAGGAGCTTAGAACTCCAGAATCAAATAAAATTTATTATCTATCTATCTATCTATCCTTTAGAAAACTTATCCTTGACGAAGCTGTCTCATAAATTAGTAACGCTACTGGCTTTGTGCACCGCTCATCGAGCACAAACATTAGCAAGCATTGAAGTGAAGAACATAACAGTCCGAGAGAATGCATTAGAGATCAAGATCGCAAAACTAATAAAGACTTCGGGACCAGGGCGAGCACAACCATTACTGGTAGTACCTTTCTTTAAAGAGAAACCGGAGTTATGCGTAGCTACGACCCTAAACTTTTACGTGAAAAAGACCAAAACAGCAAGAGGAAAGTTGGGAAACCTTTTTATTTCAACTGTTAAGCCTTTGTCACGTTCGACAGTCACAATGGTTAATAGGTTGATGAGAATGATGAAATGATAAGACTAACAATTTTAGGCTTACAACAATTAAGGAGGACAGGCCGATAAGGCTCTTACGACACGTCACGTAATTGTATGCTTTGATTGAAAAGTCGATTGTTTTTGTAAACGCCGAGCGGTTTACGTTTGCAAAAACGTGTTGATCTTGTTTATCGATCTGCGTGGCTGTAGATCCAAGATCGTGAAAATGAAAATGAAAGATGGCGGTGAGGGTGATCCACTCCTCGTGAAGAATGTTTTTATTCTTTTGACAGCAAGGTTTATTCAATGCAATACTAGTTATGTTTAGTTATCTGGATTTATTTGATGAGATTGGGAAACACAATTTGATTTAAAATGTTATTACAATTATGTTGTATTTATATATCTATATAAGTATTTCTTACCTAACCTCCAGATAATATTATTCACTGAAGGTGCACAAACTATTTTTCGCACAAAAGTGTCTATCAATTAAATCTACCTTAACCTTCCGCACAGTTACTTCGGGTATGACTACTAGGCCACCAAGCGGATGTGAACCTCTATTCAATACCCCGTTCGCAAATGCAGACCGTTGGGTTATTAAATCTACCTTAACCTTCCGCACAGTTACTTCGGGTATGACTACTAGGTCACCAAGCGGATGTGAACCTCTATTCAATACCCCGTTCGCAAATGCAGACCGTTGGGTCCTGATTAAACTCTCAATAATAATCGCCAAGCGGATACGAAATTATTGTAGAATTGTCAGGGGGTCCAAGGTAACTTTTTACGGCTGAGCCGGAGTTGAATCGCGAGGCAGCAGGTAGAACAGCACTTGGAAACTGATTTTTGTATTAATTCGTGGCTCTTTATATACTAAATTCTGGCCTCGAAATAGGAGTTTAATTTGTGAAAAACCGAATATTTAGAGCAATTACGTAGTCGATATTAAGAAAAAGAGTTTGAATATACGTCACAGCCCTTGAAACTACTCGTAGAGCTGTGTCGTCATAGACCTTGAATACTCTCATTTTCCGAGCAGAGGTTTTACTCTTATCATCGAGTCATTGCGTGATGTTACTAACTAGGCCCTGACCGTCTTATCGAAAGCTGCCTCTCGCTTCCACTCACGGTGTCAGTATACCTTAATATTATCTTAAAAATATGAATACAAAATAAGGAAATTTATAATATTTTGTTATTATAAGGGTGATCAATGAAATCAAATTGATTTTATACGACCGGAATTACTATGTATCGGGATGTTGCACCTTACAAGGCCATTACCAGTCAAACTATTAGCAGGTGGATTAAATCAGTCCTGACAGAGAGTGGAATAGACACTACAGTTTTTTCGGGACATTCTACTCGACATGCGGCAACCTCAGCGGCTTATTTTAAAGGTATCAATTTGGAGTCGATAAGAAAGACCGCAGGTTGGTCTAAAGGATCAGAGATGTTCGCTAGGGTCTACAATAGGCCAATATCGGCTGACAATAAAAGTTTTGCAAGAGCTGTGTTAGGTTAAGTAATATAAATCTCTGTATGAACAAGCCTAAGTAATAAATATCATACTAATATTAAAAAAAAAAAAAAAATTTGGCCAAGTCTCTAAACCGCTACATGGTTATAAAATTATTAATATTACTATTAATCTCGAGAGCGAGGCTTGTAGTATAATTGAACGATTAAACGAGCACGCCGAAGGCGTGCGAAGTTTGATCGTAATTATACTACGAGCCTCGTTCGAAGAGATTAAGGTCCCACCCTCAAAGAAGATCTTTGAAGTCCCGACCCCTGGAAATAAGGAAGGTTTGTCCAAATTTTAACCTTTAAGGTAAGTTTATCTCTAAAATATGAAGAACAGAGGGAGTAACCGAGGTAGGTGAACCGATGTTTTTAGTTTTCTCTAAACAAGTTGTGCACTCTAGTGACCAAAGAGGTAACTCTTGGTTATAAAACTACATGGTTATAAAATTATTAATATTACTATTAATCTCTTCGAACAAGGCTCGTAGTATAATTACGATCAAACTTCGCACGCCTTCGGCGTGCTCGTTTAATCATTCAACTATTTTGACTGACTCTGCACGTGAATTACCAGATGACTTGGTAGCTGAATTAGCTTCTGAAAGAGAAATAGAAGAAGCTGACAAATTTTTGCCTGTGCACGAAGAATTACCGGATGACATTGATAGAGCATTAAATAATTATTTACTTAACAGAGACGACAATGACGAAGGAACAGAGAGTGAAAAAGAAAGAGGCGATGAAGAAGAAAAAGAAGCAGAGGAAAATAACTTGGGTATTGACGATGCATTGAAATGTGTTAAAAACTTAATTCAATTTTGTAACCAAAAAAACTATACAAATGTAGATAGTCTATTTACTTTGTATAATCAAATTGAAGGGGACTGGATCAAAAAGAAGCTAAGTACATTAAAACAAACTGAACTTGATTATTTGAGTAAAAATAATATTTCAAGTTAAATTCTTGTTTATGTTTTAACCTTTCCTTAATTCTACTTACTTTTCTTACATTTCTAAATAAAAATAAAATTTCAAGCTAAATTCTTGTTTATATTTTAACTTTTTCTTACATCCTTGGCTATCAGTTCTCCCCACTTTTCATTCTCTGTACATTGACCACCTGCATACAATAACCACTCTTATCGAGAACCGTAAGTGGTCAGTGTACACAGGTTTTACTGTATTATACAAAAAAAATTGAGCCAAAATTTTAATATAGCTCGTCATTTTTAACGATTTTCAAAAATTCAAAATTTAACAAATTTGGCATTTTTCAAAATATTTTTTTTTCAATAGCCCCAAGTATCCCCTTTCAAACAAACGAAAGGCCATCCCTGTATCTATAATAGCGTTCAAGATATAACAAAAACAAAATTGAAAAACTGGACAAATCGCGAAATTTTGAATTTGCATATCTTTTGAAAAAAAATTAAAATTTTTTTTTCCTTTGGCAGAAGTTCGTTGTATGATAAAAGAAAACTTCTGACCAAAATTTATCCAAATCGAAAGGAGTCGATTCCAACTAATGCTCGATTTGGCATGAATTGACCCAACTATATTTTACTATCAAGTCGCAACAACAGTAGTAATCCTGTTGCTGCAACAGGATTTGTGCCTGTTGTTGCAACATGGCTGCCTCCTATTGCAGCTGCAGGAAAATCCTGTTGCTGCAACAGGATTTGTGCCTGTTGTTGCAACATGGCTGCCTCCTATTGCAGCTGCAGGAAAATCCTGTTGCTGCAACAGGATTACTACTGTTGTTGCAACATGACTGCCTCCTGTTGCAGCAACAATAAATTTTTTTCCGTGTGGGTGTTAGAATTTCAAATTTCCATTTTCAAACTCGAAATTAGGTCGGAATCTTTCATTTGTCATGAGGAGATCATCTCAAAACGGATTCCAAAAATTCTACTCCCGATAGGGATTGCGGGGGTGGGTATTAAAATCTAAAATTTTAATTTCAAAACTGTAACTGCTGCAGATTCTAAATTTGGTAGAAATCTTCATGTACGATGTCAAGTTCAGCTGAAAATGGATTTTCTCGAATTCTAACCCCAAAAAGCATCGTGGGGGCGTTAACAATGAAAATTTCTCATTTCCAATCGATAGTTTTTGTAGGCTCGAAGTTTTATTGGAATCTTTTATTTATAATGAAGAAATCATCTCGAATAGGATCTTACGAAGTTCCTCCCTCACATAGGAGTGCAGGAGTGATAATTGTGAAAAAATGCATATTGTTCAAATACAGTTCCTACAAATATAAAATTTGATAAAATCTCAAAGGAAACAGAGAAATACCGGGATGACCTCCAAGGTCAATGGATTTAAATATTTTTCTTACTTGATAGTGATATTTTCTTACAACAATCGTCTCTTTGGCAGCGGCAAAAAAGTCATTGTAACGTTTCCAAAATTCAGTCAACGGACTAAGAATTTGACATACATTTTATTTTTGCTGATCACATAACCGATGAATTATTCTTATTACGAGATCGCGAAAATGTAACAGATTAAAAGCATTGCATTTTCTAAACACATGAAATAGAAAAAAAATTTGAGATATACACTCAAAGAAATTTATAGGAATCTTTCCAACAATTATGGGAACGGATCCTATATTAATATTATCATTATAGGCATTAATCCTATACTCATTATGGTAACCATACCCATAATTTATTGGAAACGTTCCTATACAATAATGGAATAATGGAATAGCTTCAATACATTATGGGAATGGCTCCTATAATATTATGGGAATGGTTCCTATAATATTATAGGAATGGTTCCTATAATATTATAGGAATGGCTCCTATAATATTATAGGAATGGTTCCTATAATATTATGGGAATGACGCACATAATAATAGAAAAAAGTTTATTTTCTTAATAATGAAGCAATCACTTCAAAAATATAAAGTAATTATTATGTATTTTTTGCTAATAAATTTTTTTTGTAAATAAAATTGATCTTTCACTAAAGTGAAAAAATTTCTTTTTCATAATTTTTATTCACGTGTGTACTTAATTTTGAATTATTTATTCCAGCTCAGTTATTATTGTGTTAAATAATATTGAAAAATATTGTAGCAATTCCAAAGTTTCTCTAATAAAAAGAATATTTTCTCACTATACAATTGTAGAAGCAAAATAGATATGGAAATTCATTGTTTATATTCACAATTTTATTTTATTTTTAAAGCAAATTATTTACAATACATACGTTGAACCGCGAAAACATTTGAAAATTTGGAATTCCAAAACAATTGGAAATTTTATTTTATTTAAGAAATTTTTTTTTTAATTAACTTTTCTTTTTTTTTTAATTAATTTTATTTTAATTTACAAGCATATA